AAAAAAAAAAAAAAGAGGATGGGAAGAAGAGGGGTGCAAGGGGGGTCAACCAGGGAAAAAGAGGGGACCCATGGTAGGGGAGCAAGAAAGAGTCCAATGCCAGTGTGGGCATCTGTCTGTTTCCATCTTCATCACTGTCTTAGGCTCCAGTTTAGCATCAGTCTCCTTACTTCCTGCCTCTGTCCATGGTCTGTGAGGATTCCTTCAACCCCCTCCACCCTGCCCCTGTTCCTTCTGTGACAGTCCCTTCCCCTCCTCCATTTATTGGGAGCTGGCTCGCTCCAGGATCCTCAGGTCATAGTTCTTTTTGGCCATTCGAAGTTTGAAGCGACTCACGGAGTTGTTGAGACGAAGGGAGGCATTTTGGGCAGCCAGGGGGCTGGGGAACACAGCCACAATGGTGTACAAGGCAGCGAGGTCCGAGTGGCGGCCATTCTCAGCAGTCCCACTGTTGTCCCCCCCACCCCCTCCAGGCAGCCCCTGAGCATCCTTGAGCCACTGGATCTTGGCGCCGGACATGGCGAGCTGTGTGAAGAGTTTGTCCGCCTCGGTACGAGTGATGCCCTCAGGGAGATCTGTCACCTCCAGCACCCGACCCAGGACTGGAAGGGGAGGAGAGAGGACATAATTGTGAGAGGTATGGGACAGGAAGGACTGGACAGCTGCCTGACAGAGAAGTGTCCAGTTGACCAAGTCTGTACACAATGTCTCCAAAAGCCTGGCCTATCTCTCTTAGCCCTTTTTTCCCCTCCCCACCATCCCAGCTCTGATGAGGGCAACTAAGAGAAAAATCAAATAAAGATTTCTCTTCTCCTAGCCCAGAGATGTAGGCAAGAAGGGACTGGGAATCAGAACCCTGGGTTTCTGAGCTGAGAACCTATACCTCAGTTCTCTCACAGGGTGCTACTGCTATGAAGAAAATGTGGCTTTTGCTGATGTTCTGGGTTTTTTTTGTTTTTTGTTTTGAGAAGGAGTTATGCTCTTGTTGCCCAGGCTGGAGTACAATGGCGTGATCTCGGCTCACAGCAACCTCTGCCT